GCTTCATAGTCGCCAGAAATTTGGTTTACCACCAACTGTGAGTTGCTGTAGACCATCAATTCAGTGGCCTTCATGTAGTATGCTGATTTGAGTCCTGCGAGAAGCGCTTCATACTCCGCTTCGTTGTTTGATGCTGGGAAGCCAAGGTTGATTGCTTGCTCCACAACCAGGCCGTCTGGTGAGATAAGGACTATGCCAAGTCCCGCACCATGCCGGTTGGATGCTCCATTCACAAAGAGCTTCCACATCTCTCCAACGAATAACTTCCAGCAAGTGGAGGGGTCAGATGATGTCGTGGGGTCAAGAACGTTGCTGTTGTTTTCTTCAAGGTTCATGCTTGCTGTTTGCCCCTCGCTATCTGATTGAACCAAGTCTTTATTTGTTGATGAGTCTTGGTTTGGTGTAGCTTGGTTTGCTTCTTCCTTGCTGTCTTTAGCTCGGTCTGCCTTGGAATCTGACTGTGTACCTTTTGCTAGGGTGGCGCTATTCCGGCGCCAACTTCCATCCCTAGTTCAGTTGTGTTAGTTAGGTCGACTGGGCATATATGATAACTTCCAAGAGTAAACTCTACGACAAAGTCTGCCAAAGATTGGGCTTTTACTGCGGTTCTGGGTTGGAACTTGATGTCGAATTGTCCCAACTCTACTGCCCACTTCAAAATTTGCCCAGAAAAGTTCGCCCTCTCAAACAAAGCTTTTAGTGGGAAAGCTGTGAGGACGACTATGGTGTGGGCGTGAAAGTAGTGTGCCAATTTTCTGGAGGCCATCATCAAAGCTAATGCCAGTTTTTCTAGTGACAAATACCTTGTTTCGGCTCCCAGCAATGTCTTGCTGACATAATAGATGGGCAGATGTTGAATTCCTTCCGCACGGACCAACACTGTACTAATTGCGTGCTGGGAGACTGCTAGGTACAGGAAGAGTTCTTCTCCTGATATTGGGGTGACCAACAATGGTGGAGAGGACATGTATTCTTTCAAGCTTTCCACAGCTCGGTCGCATTCTTCGTCTCATTCGAACTTGGCTTTTAAAGCTTGAAAGAATGGTCGTAGTCTGTCTGACGATCGGCTTATGAACCGATTGAGCGCGGCTGCCATGCCGGTGAGATGCTGCACTTCTTTTATTGAGTTTGGTCTCTCCAAATTCTGAATTGCTTTGATCTGGGAGGGGTCCGCTTCTATACCCCGGTTGGTCACAAGGAAGCCCAGGAATTTGCCTGATCCTACTCCGAATGCACATTTAGATGCATTGAGGCGCAACTTGTGCTTCTTCAGGATTTCAAACATCTCTCCTAGGTCCTTGAGATGGTCATTTTCATCCTCGCTTTTGACCACCATGTCATCGATGTAAGCCTCCATCGTTCTTCTTAACAATGGTTTAAACATCTTGGTGACCATTCGTTGGAATGTTGCCCCTGCGTTCTTCAGGCCAAAGGGCATGACCTTGTAACAGTATAGTCCTCTTGGAGTTGTAAAGGATGTGACCTCTTGGTCTAGTTCATGCATGGCGATTTGGTGGTAGCCTCTATATGCATCTAGAAAGCTAAGTCGGTTGTGCCCTGCCGTTAGGTCTACCAGTTGATCTATCCGTGGAAGAGGAAAGCTGTCTTTTGGGCACGCCTTGTTGACTGTTTTGTAGTCGACGCAGACACGCCATTTGCCATTCTTCTTTGGCACTACGACCGTGTTAGAGATCCATTTGCCATTCTTCTTTGACACTAGTATCAAAGTAATAGGATGGATTAGTATGATTGCAAAAATTTACTAGGAAATGTTGAATTGTGGTTGAAAATGAGAGACCATTGTGAAATTTTGACGGGAGGAAATGAGAATTCATGATTGAAAATGAAAAGGGATTGCAAAATGAAATAAAGGTGGAAATTTCTTCAATTAGCATCAGCCACTACAAGAGGAAGAGCAAGAATTAACACAGATTTTTTTTTTTTATTGAATTATTATTAATAAATACAGATTGGGTTATGAGAAAAGAGCAAGAACATATGATTTGGAAAGGGATTAGGCCATATTGAGCTGAATGTACCTGACAGTCAGTAAATAATTTATAACCATGAGAACATGAATTATTACTATTCATCTTTGTTCAACTTTGAGCTCCCTTGCTTATTTTGATCGTAGATTTTATGGGTTTAACATTACTAACTGTTCTTTTTAGTTTGCCTACTGTGGCCAAAAATCAAGAGTTTTCATATCAAACATACTTGACCAATTTCCTGCAGTTTTTTGTCAGATTATTAAGTTAATGCTTTACTTTGATGTTTTAGAGTTGTGTTCTAACTCTGCTATATGATCATAAATTTCTATGTTAATTGCACTAATTACTTGAACACTTTGAAGTAAAACTTTTTCCTTTTAATTCCAGATCTTTTACTGCCTAATTTCAGTAAGAAGCAGTCGATTTCTATCAAGAAAAATCTGCTGAATAGGGTGATGATTCGACCGTAATCTTTGTTCTTTTCTTTCTCTTTCCTTTCTTCAACTTCTTTGACCACCACCCATTTAGTACATATTAATGAGTGTTTAGGAGAGAAAAGATTAGGTACACACGTAATTTTTGACATATTATATAAAGCGATTGTTCCGTGACTTGAACCCATAACCTTAAGGGTGTTAGGCTTTTTACGACCACCCATTAGGCAATCCAACTAAATCTTTCAATTTCAATAACTTCTTCCTAGGTACCCTTTTCTTGAACATTTCCTCTGATTTACGCCAAATCTCTCTCTCGATTAGCTCTTGAGCTAGTTGCTGATGATGCTCAGATGACTTTGTAAGGCCTTTGGACTTGGACAGAAACATTGTAGCATGGGTTTAAGCTATCTGAAGGATGGGTCAAAGAGTGTTCAACCAAACAAACACATAGGTTGCGTTTGGTAGAGTTTTGTAAATATGATTTGAAAGTATGAGTTGTATTTTGAGTTTGTGAGTTGTGGAATTATGATTTGAGTGTAGAAAATTTGTTTGGTTATGATTTTTTAATAGAGATTTGAATTGAGTGTGGAATTGAGTTTTGAAAGTTTGATTTAACATATAAAGTAAGAAAATTTGTTTGGTCATGAGTTTTGGAAAGAGTTTTCAAAACTTAATTCAAATTATTATAACTCATGACAAAACACATTACTTTCACACTATTGAAAATTCTGATCAACACTCATAACCAAACGCTTTTTAAAATTCAATTAAAAAAAGTTATTATTAACAGAAAATAACATTAATCAATTTCTTAATTGAAAATACTACAGAGGAAATAATTTTTTTTCAAAATAAATATTCAAAAAAAATTAAATCATAAATATTTAAATAATTAAATAATCTAAAAAATTTAATAAGTAAAAAATTTAAATAAATATTCAAAAAATTTAAATCGTAAAAATTTAAATAATTTAAATATTAAAAAATTTTACATAATTTAAAATGTTAATATTTTAAATTTAAAAACAACTCTACACTCAAATCATAACCAAACACATAAAATAAAACTTAAGTAATAAATTATTTTTAAAACTCATAACTAAACACATAACTTGAAACTCCACAGTACTTTCACAACTCTATACGCAAATCATAACCAAATACATAACAAAGAAATTGAAAATTTTTAAAACTATTTTTATAAAATAGAGTTTGAATTTATTTTTATAAAATATTTTAACAAAAAACAAAAAAAATGTTTTTAATTTTTTTTTTCAACTTTGTTTGTTCTGGGAAAATGTGTTTTTTGGGAATTTTTTTATTTTTTTATTTTTTGTTTGTGCTGCCTCATGCCCCTCTTCATGAGGGGTAGTTTCGTAAATTCCCCTGACCGTTTATTGTTGCCAACCAACTGTGGCTCTTTTGTCCTTTACTGGCTAAATTAGCCTCTTTTGGCATTTAGTGGCTAATTTAGCCCGGAAGCCTTTCCCAAACGACCCCTAGAGACTCAACAGGGGGT